CCATGGTTATATAAAAAGGCTGACCATTAGAATATATTGTACAATATCAGTCTCAGTGGTTTATTGATCATTCACAATTTTTTATGGTTTCTAGGTGCAGAAGAAGAACCCACTCCAGGTAAAATGACTTTGCATTAAAAACATGCACTTTGACATTTCCATGAAAACCATGTAATCTGATCACTTTAATAACCTGCTCTCCTGCAGAACCACGACCACACAAGTACAAATGTGGCCTGTCAGCACCGTGTCCCCCCAAACATCTCGCCTTTCGTCTGACCTCTGGTGCTGCCAATGTCATCGGCCCCAAAATCTGTCTGGAGGACAAAATGCAAGTTGTCTGACCTTTTTGATTGCCGCGGTGTCTCTAATGAGCTTGCATGACCACCTCTGCACAATAACTTCTGCATGCAACCTTTCTCGCTATTTCTCGTTCTGTCTTCATTGCTATTCACCATGTCCTCTTTGTTTTCTCATTGCCATCACTTCCAGACTCATTATCTTATTGGGAAACGTGATGCAAGTAGGCGATGGTTTCTCTTTCCATGCCTGTGTTTAGCTCATATTTCATTTTCTGATTTCTTCCCTTAACTTCTACCTAAAAATTCATCCTATTTCTATTTAAATTAATACTGTAGAAATGTGGTTTTGAGATGCTTATTGTTTTCTACTTGTTTGGTTTTACAGTATCCTCAGCAGTGCTAAAAACAACGTCGGCAGAGGGCTCAATATTGCTTTAGTAAATGGTAAATGGTTCTTCTTTACTGATATATTTCTAATGTACTTTAAAATGGTTTCATAATGATCAGTCTTTTTCGCTTTTCTCAGGGGTCACCGGAGATGTTTTGGAAATAAGAGCTTTTGATATGTGGGCAGGAGGTAAGTTGACATTTGAAGGATTGCAGTTATCTCTATTAGAAATGATTAATGAACAGGATTCTTTTCTTCCTGTTTGCCAGATGTTTCAGAGTTGCTGAAGTTTATTCGGCCTCTTCATGAGGGAACATTAGTATTTGTTGCCTCTTTTGATGACCCGGCCACTAAGTAAGTTTATTTTCACACCTTCTTTTAAACTCTTGATTATTGTCTTTTCGTGATCTGGTCTTTCTGAATTAAGAGCACATTATGAGTTCTTTTCATGCAGTGTTTAGTCATCATTTTTACAAGGCCTAAATCAGAGTAATGAATTCATTCCCAGGTTAAATGATGAGGCTAGGCGGATATTTGAGGAACTGGGAAGTACTGCAGCGAAGGAGCTGAGCTTCAGGGACAGCTGGGTGTTTGTTGGAGCCAAAGGAATTGAGAATAAGAGCCCATTTGAACAGGTAGGAGTTATGGAAAAGGTGCCTATTAATTATGTTTATGTATTTATTTAGGGGAGTTTCTTTTTTTTTTTTTGTTGGACACAAAAAAATATTGGACACCTGTAACCATTGACTTCAATTTGTTTTTCATATGTAAGTTAATGGTTACAGGTTTCAAACATTATTTTAAAAGAAAAGTTCAACAGAAACTCATAAATGTTTGGAAGCATTTGTGGGTGTGTAAAATTGTGTAAATTGTTGTTTTTGGCTTAAACTATCCCTTTAAACTTGTTTTATCATTATGTATGGGTTGATCACTAAAAAATCTAATACAGATTGAAATTTTCCTACATTTGTACTTTTTTTAGTTTTGTTTTGTCAGCAAAAAACTAACCATTTTAAATTGCTTTCCCTATGATTTACAGAAAGCATCTGGTTAAATGTTATTGTTGTAACAGTAATTTATTTACAACAAAAATATTGTCATATTTAGAGCAAGAATCGTTTATTGACATATTAAAATAGCCTATTTAAGGATCACATTGAAGCCTCAAAATACTAGCACTAGTCATTTTCAGTCCTGCCAATATCCTTCAAACCATACAATAAGTTTTGTTTCATTTTTGCATCAGTATATGTCATTTTACATGTTGTTAACAAATCTGTTTATGTAAATCTATATAAATATTCTGAATGAACATCAAAAATAATATGTATATTTAACGCTGTTATCGACGTTAACGTGCTGCATTAACGCAAGACTCTTATTGCGCAATAAAAAAATTTGCCGTTAATCTATTCTTAAATTTGGTTTGGGAGCTGGGTCTATTCTATGCAAGCTATGATGACTTTCACCTTGATTTTTTTACCGCGGATGTATACCTGACCAGTGGGCCGTCTGACAAAAAAGTGCCCTCCTGAATCAAATCAGCAGGATGCCTGACTTTAACTGCAGTAAGGCAGTTTCACTTTAACTCATGATCTTTTCTTTCATGTCGTCGTGACAAACTGGGATATTAGACACAAATAAGGAGTAAGGACTGGTGAAAGTGTTCTGGAATTTAATAATGCACGCCAAATAAAAAGAAAAAAAAATTCCTCATTTCGTGATGTGTGTTTGCGCACGGTCCTTTACTGACAGCCGCCTGTGTGGATCTTGTAGGAAAATATTGCAAAATACATACAAGTAATAGTTTGATTGTGGTGTTTACTACAGTAATGCCAATAATATATGTGTACTCCACATCTTTATTCCATTTTTGTTTAGTTTAGTTATGACTTAAGTGGCATTAAGGTATTTAAAATTGCTGTTTACATTTTAGACTTTTAATCAGAGTATTGTTTTTATCATATTAAAATCGCATTAAAGTATTGTTGTCCATGAAAACATACTCCAATGTTTGACACATCGTCAGGGCTCTGTGAAATTGGCTTTGCGAAGCAGCATTTTCTCTATTTACATCAAAAGCACGTATGAAATCGCTGTTTGGAGCTTATGTAGGCTTACTGTTCAAAATTCCAATAGTATCTGGATGCAGTCTTTATGATGCAAGCTGAGATTGCATTAAGTCAGTGATGCAATGTCAGACACAATGCACTCAACGTAGTGAGTGACGTCACTGTGACGGTTAGGGTTAGGTGAGCGAGTTAAGCTAAGCTTAAATGGAGTCAAGCAGCTAAGATTGCACTGCACCGAGTCTGCAGCCAGACCCTTCTCCAAAATTCATGTCTAACTGAATAAACATTTAGTAAACACAAGTACATCTTATTGAACATAATTTATTTTCATCACCAATTTCATAGTAGAACAGTTTCTCAAGCTGTTTGTGATGCATTTTGTAAACATGAGATGAGGGTCTAATACTGTTCTCAAAGACTTATTATTTGGGTAGCACACATATTCTGAATGTCTTCTGCAGAATTCAAATGAGCCATTTTAATCTAGATTAATCTAGGTTAATTTTGAGGTTAATCTAGATTAAAATAATTAATCTATACCCACCTATTTATTTATTTATTTATTTATTTTTTACGGACTATGATGGTATAATTTAAAGATTTGGTAATACTTCCTAAAATTGGTTGCAATTTTATATATATTTTTTGACCCATTTAGTATTTGACCCATCTCAACAACCTGAAAAAACAATGACCATTCCTACCCTTTGCCTGCCTTAGCATCAAACAGGCTTTGTTTTTTTTCTTTATACATTTAGGGATTAATAGTTTTGCTTGCTTTACAATTGTTCAAAACTCCAAAACCCATGTGCATTTTATCTGACATTTTTGCTTAGAAGTCACACTTCATTCTGACCAATATACAACAATAAAGTCCGGTCCATTTGACAACATTTTACTGATTTTACTGCAAATAAAATGTGTTGGACAGCAAGTTTGAGTGAGTACCAGTCAAAAGGATGCTCATTTTGATGGGTTTATCTTTTGCAATTATAAAATCATTAAGCAGGGATTTTACCGTCTGACTTTGTTCTCTCTTTTTCAGCGAATGAAGAACAGTAAAAGCAATAATAAATATGAAGGCTGGCCGGAGTCTCTGGAGATGGATGGCTGCATTCCTCTGCGCGCTCCTTTGGAAACTTAAGGCCTCAAGCAGGCTTTGAACTCTATGAATACTTCAAACACAAGGAGAACTACATACTAAATTGGCTTCCATTATAAAAGTGGCTCAGACGTCTGAAATGGAAAAACTTGAACAAATAACTGGAAGAAGTTGTGTGGGCCTGTGGAAATCGAATTGCGATTGACAAAAGAATAGTTTTATGAAGAAAAAATACTGGCACATTTAATATTTTTTAATGATATTTAAATGATTCTATATATACAATTTCATGTATAAAGTTGATACTGTATAAAAGCTGTGCCTGAAGGATCACATTTGCATTCAAAGACAGATAATTATATGCACATAAAAGAATGTACAGAGTTGATTGGGGGATTATCTATTTGTGAATCAAGTTGCACCAATCTTTTTCCCCTTGCAGTTTTTAAAAAATGATGCACCAATGCATTGCACTCTATAAATAATCTTTGAATCAACACAAACATCATGCCGTTTTATTTAGGCCAGCAAATATTAAAGGATTACATCTTATCTCATAATAAACTCACGCACATGTTTATTCCCTCGTGTTTGACCAGAGTACTGGTTGGCTTTTAGAATAGACTGCCCTAATTTTAGCAACCAACGCACTGTTGTTTTTGTGGGTTATTTTGGTGAAGTTTGTTCCAAGGGAAGTGACGTGTAGCTTAGTTTTCCTGCACGAATTTATTTTTACGCAGGAAACCATGTACATCAGTTCGCGATCACGTGTTGTCCACGAACGAACAAACAAACAAGCACCATGGACAGCGGCGTTACTGATCTTATACACTAGAGGGCAGCAGCAGGAAGAGTAATACATGGCAGTCTGCATTATTAATAAAAACTTCTAGATGTTTTACTTTACAATTAATTAGTTTTAATGAAAGTTATTTATATGTCATTTGTTATAATGTTTTAATCATTGGTATTTAATGAAAAATAAACCAGTAAATTTTTTTTAAGCAAGTGCTGGGGAAGCGTAATATAAAGTCAAACTAAATATGATTCTCAAAAATTTAAATGCCTACCTTAAAATAATTAAACAATGTTAAGAATAACATTAGATTAAAATAAATTGAGGAAAAGTATACAGTGTATTTTTATAATTAAGGCCACGTGAATTGTCAAATGATGTTATGGAAGGACCGGACTATGAATAGAACCAAAACAGAAATAACGTCAAGCATGCCCTTTATTGGAATAAGTATCAACTCTATTAAAATATAATTGAATTATAGCAGACTCTTATACTGCTTACTGGGACAATGCGCGACCCCGCGTGGTCAGACAGGGGCGGCGGCGCGCATAGTTGGAGCACGCGGTGCGAGCGAGCGGGCGCGCGCGCGTCTCCGTCTCTAACCGAAAAAGGAGAAACGATTGTGCTCGATTGAACTACCGCGAACGCCGCAGCGACGGATGCTGCTCTGTAAATTATGTAAATTAAAGACATGTATCACGCTATTTTCTTGTGAATACGCCGCGTTACGTTCACCGGCGGAAAGGTGTGCTGATAATCTGGCGGAAAGGGAGAGCAATATGTTTTTACCAGATGATGTGTCCAGGAGGATTTGCAGGATTTAACGACGCCGCTCAAACAAGAGAAACACACGCTCGTACGAGAAAAGGAGTAAACACCGGCAACGCCATACTACAATTTACGATTATATCCGACGAGATGCTGACGAACTGTTGAGTCTTGGCATTAAATTAGGAGACCCTTTCGACAGGCTCGCTTCAGTTCAAATAGCGAACAGAGGATGCAGCACACCGGTGAGTACCATTGACTGAGTGTTGTGCTAAATTATAATTAGCTTGTGATATCCCGAGGATTTGTCTTTGCTGATATAAATTAACGCTATACATTGAAATATACATCTTTAGGTAGCTGTATTGTCTTTGATAGACACTGAAATCCTTGGCAAACATAGCTTAAATGCTAACAACGCGGTGGTGCTGAAATACAAACGGACTGATCGAGACGAGCGATATTAGCGGTTAGACTGTAAACTGAAGGTGTTTCCACCTATTCTTAATACGCTTTACACTTTAAGATCCAAAGCGGTTTGTGGTCTTTATAATGTCTTTATTTTCTTCATCCGTCTTGCTTACCGAGTCAGAGTAAATGAAGACTGAGTGTGCAGTTCAGACAGACGGTTGTTCTCTTGATTTATCTCTTTGAATTATTATGTCATATGCTGCTCTTGACAGGTTTCCCTTGGCTTGCAGTCAATTTATCGAATTTGGTTCTTCTGTTTGCAAGTTGCGACCTAAAAATACACGCTTTTGTGTGTTTTTATGGCTTCCATGTCTTCTGTTCTGTGTGTTTAACTCAAGGCAGTGGCCACTGTTGGTCAGTGCTGTAGTAATAGTTGCCTTATGGTTTGGCTTTGTTTGAATAGTAGCACGATGTTGTAGTAGGGTTTGTAAGATCTCTCTGGCATTCGTTAATCACGCAAAGGATGAAATCTGTATTAATGTACCTAGTTCTTTTAAAGTTGATTCCAGAATGTTTAAAGGTTTTGATTTATTTGCAATAAAATGTCAAGATGTGGAATTGCGAAATAAAAGGCAATATATGTTCTTCAAAGACTGGAAGCCGCTTAGTTGTTAACATTTTGACAAGTGTTTTTTTTTTCTGAGTTTATTTTGCAAATGTAGATTTTATTTTCCTTCAAAATATAAAACCATTACTGTATGTGACCTGAACTGATTTGGCCTGCTTTTTCATAATTCGAAATATGTGACTGACCTCTCTTTTCATAATTAAAAATACGAGACAGTCATCAGAGTCTAGCAGTTTACTCTGTTTTCTTGTGCACATAATTATACCATGATTACAAATGTGATTCACAGGCATTTTTACATTAATTTTAGAATAAAACTTATTTTCAATGTTGCAAGAAATAAATATTTAATATAAAAAATGTTATAAACAACATTACAAATAAGAGTTGCTTTAATGACACACCAAGAATTTTAGCTGCTTAATCAGAAATGTCTTACAGTTTCAGTGTTGTAAACTTGTTTGTTTTTTAAGAATTTAACAAATTCTTCTTAGTAAGTACTTTTACACTTGCAATAAATTTAATGTGTACTTTTGATACACTTTTTGTGTATTTGTAGTTTATTTGGAGTGTAATTTATATTTTACGAGCAATTGTTTTTTTTATATTTTAATAATATTTTGGGGGGGGATTTTTACCTTTTAATGGCTAGGACAGTAGAGAGTATTGACAGGAAAGCATGGGAGACAGGGGAAGGATCAGCATAGGACCTCAAGGCGGGAATCAAACTCGGGTCGCCATGAGCACTGGTGTGCATGCGTCACGCACTAAACACTTCACCATTGGCGCAGACGGTTGGTTTCACATATACCCTGATCAAATTAATCACAGAAACGTTATTCTTTAATAACCAAGTTAGAATTATTGTTATTTCTAGGGTTGCACGATTAATCGAAAAAAGGTCACAATCTCGATTTGTCCCGACCCACGGCTACGATCTTAATTCTGCTTTTCTACCATTTAGCGTATTATATTTTCAAGGTCAGGAGAGAAGCGTAAAGTTGGTCATTGTTTTATATGTTGCAACTTGGATCCCTTCAAATGGTGTTAAAAGTGTCACATACTGCATTTATAAGGTCAGCCAAAGCACACCAACTCGCACCAAAATTCTGTCGTAATTTAATGACGTATTTGCAGACGCGAAATTACACAAAAGCTGACGCACTGTTTGTTTATTACCGAGAGGACGTGCGTGTGCCCGCCAATGGTGTCTACTTTAATGAACACTTAACTTTACATTACTTTAATGTCTTACCGTTGGTTTGAGAAATAACAATAATAATAAGTAGCCTACTTATATTAAACTTTATTTTACATATTGTGTAAATTGTGAGAAAATTGTGATCTTGAATTCAAGCAAAAAAATCATGATTCTCATTTTAGCCAGAATCGTGCAGCCCTAATTATTACTATTAATCATTATTAATTATTTTAAAACTTTCATATTTCTCGAGCCAACAAAGTTTGTTTATTTAGTTATTACTTTTGGAGAAACTGCGTGAGGATGTTTCTGCTGCATTCTGTTATAATACCAAATTTTTTCGCAGTTTGTTTTATGAAAACACTTGAGATTTTGTGTAAGATGATAGTGTTTTTTTACATGGTAAATGCTGGTGAAGAAACTCCACAGCTCTGGGGATGAAGCTCACGTCTTCATATTTTAGCGAAACAGCTGAAAACAATATAAACATCACACATGCTTCAGTATGTGTGTGGTAACTGTAACATGACCACCCTTTCCATTCACAACAGAAAATGCAGACTTTGTATAGTACTTCATATCATTACTTCAATCAATAGCATTTTGCATTTATTTTAAATGACAAACACTAGTTCAGATTTCTTTTTCTTCACGTGTACAGCACTATTTCATCCAAAATTGTGAAAAAATGTACTTGTTGAACAGCTTATTCAGTTTTACTTCATTCCGCTATGTTATCTAATTAAATGCCACATTTCCACACCACATCGTCTTATCTTACCGTCGCTTTTTGAACTTGTAAATGGCTTTGTGTGTCTAAGAAATCTCTGCTGATTATTAATGTACAAGCGATGTTTAAAAATCTCTCCGCTTCAATGGTAATCTGACCCATATTATATGACAGGATAAAACAACAGAAGCTTATTGTAGACATGAACCTCAAAAGCACATTATAAGCCACTTATTATGTGTAATCCACATATCTCACCTGGATTATATCATGAACCAAATGAAGTATGAGGCAATATCTAGACCATCTTTTCTGGTTCATTGTGTACCCTAACCCCGGTGACCATAGTGACACACACTTTCACATGCTTGACCTAGATTGGACAAAAGTGTTTGTGTGTTGTTCTTGGTGTTACTTAATAGGATGAGGAGTAAAAAAAAAGATGTCTTCATCTCTCCAGCTGTTACTTCACTGTAAGTGTAGTCCACACTCCACACCTTGGAGTTTTACAAGCGCCAGATTGCAATTAGTAACATTTACTGTCTTCTTGACACTGTTTAGTCTGTTGTCTGGATCCACCTGCTCATAGCTTTTAAATGAACCTAAACTTTTAAATGGATCTTGTGTTAGCTCTAAAGCAAAAAGAAGAATTTTCAGCCATTATTATTGTTTTAGTGAATCAGAACAATCTGCCTAGAAATATCAGTTGTTGAATCTTGCTGAGGATTGAGTATGTGATTGGTTAAAAAGAAATCAATTGTGACAGCAAATTAACCAGCCTATTTGCGTCAGAGCCTGAAGCAAAGATCCACTATATCAAATGATACATTTGATGATTCTTGCCTTTAGTGTCAATCAGAAAGAAATGACAGACAATGAATGGTCATAGTGGGACCTTTTTTTGCATTGCAGGCTGACCTTTTCATCTCAGGATGAACTGCCACTTAACTAAGCTGTAAATTATGTAGGTACCTCAGTAATTCAAGACAGACACCATGTCTGAGGGTCCAGTTTAAAATGGCTGTTTGTTGATGTTAGTCTTCCTGAGTATTTGGATCGTTCAGAGTATAGATGTTTGCATTCTGTTGTGTACAGTAAGAGTCATACAGGTTTAAAACAGAATTTAAATGAGTACATAAATTGCACTTTTTAAAGAAAAGACTTTAGCTTCTGTTTTCCCAAGGTCCAATTTTGTGCAAGACAATATCTGATATACAGACTTTTTTTTTGCATTTCATTTTTTTTCTTTTTTCTTTTTTTTTGCAATAAAATAAACAAATCTTTGGGTTAATGCAAAATAATGTTGTCAGTATAGGAGCTGAAAAGCAATAGTTTACCCAAAAATGAAAATGTGCTTGCACTCGAATTAGGGCTGGGTGAAATGGCAAAAATGCAATCTCAATATTTATTTTCCATAATGAATGATAACGACATGTATTTCTATATAAGTGTTGTTGCTTCCAGATTTAAAAGAGTAGCTCAACAATGACTGAAGCCACAAAAATTAAAGTCCAAAATCCATTAAATGGCATAACATTTTCGGCCGATAGATTTTGGTGGCTGAAAATTCGGTACGTCTCTAATATTAACACACTTTAAGATTCGCATTGTTGCACATTAATGCGGTGTGATTGGTTCTTAGATCAATATAGAGGGGAAAAAAGTCCAATGTTTATTGTTATTGACACAAATTTGTAGTGATTCGATATAATATCGTTTATCGACCCAGCCCTAACTCTAATGGTTCCAAACCTTTATGAGTGTCTTTATTATACTGTGTTCACTACTGATTATTATGCTGATCACTTTTGTGTTCAATAAAAGAAAGTAAGTTCAAACATGTTCAAGACAAATGTAAATGGTGACAATTTTATTTTTATTTATTTTTTTGGTAAACTTAAAGAAAACCTAATTTAAGGATTTCATTGAAAATCCAATTAGAGCCACTTGTTTGGTAAGTTGCAGTAGGTCTCGTATAATACATCCACTAAAAGCCATGGAAAATATTACTGTAGAAAATCGTATTGTACATAAATCATCTAAACAGTTGGATGTTATTAATTAATATTACAGAAATTTAATGTACAAAATTAATAAATGTATATTTATACAAATTTATATTATCAATAAATAATAACATGTTGGACTTGTGAAGCTGCGCATGGATGGATTTTTTTCTTCAGTGTTTGGATTTTAGCCGTGAAATTTAAACTGAACTGAACTGAACTGAACTGAACTTCAACTCTGAAAACTGGACTGACACAATTATTTTCTG